TAAATTCAACAGAAAAGTAATGTGATGGATAATCATTACATTATAACAAATCAATAATATTCCGAATACAAACATATATTTAGTATAACATCATAAAGCATGAATACTTAGAATTTCCGAGACCCGATTAATTCAAGAATTTCATCACTTAAAACGATGTCAAAATTGGGAGACCAACATAAAGAAGATGGAGAAAGGGATGATGAAGTATAAGACGATAATGAAGACCAAGAGGCTGTCAAAACACTGTCCTTGGTCGGAATATTTTTCATTGCTGGAGCCACCACATCTTCTAAAAGCCCTTGTTGCCGTCGACACTGATCAACCGGGAAAAACAATTCATCTTCGAGATTTACCGGTGTGTTTTCTTGGGCCTTATGGACTGGCTGATTTTGGTTGGCGGGCTCACCTAATTGGGCTTCTTTGCTTTCTTCTTGGGTTTGAGATCCTTTGTTCATCTCTTGAGCATAATATTTATGTATTTTCGTTTTTTTATTGGGCCATTGATGTGTCTTATCGGGTAGGAAGAAAGGGTAAGTATAGTGAAAGTGGAAACCTTCGTAGGTGATGATATATGTGTTAGGCTCATCAATTGATCTCTCCACTTGCTTCTTAGCATTGCATATTGGGTTTGTGCACTTGTAATAACTCCTAGAGATATATCACAAATATAGTAACATTAGGCTTGTGACCAAAAACTAAATATTCTATATAAAAGTTCAATATGTTGATTTTAATATCAGTTTGGCCGAACCAAAGAAGTTCGATATGCATATACAATTCTAAAACGGGGAATGTATATATTTACCTCGGGTTAGGGCTATTTTTGATTGATTTTTGGCCATATTTTCTCCATTTGTATCCATCATCACACATTCCATTACTATTATTCTTCACCTTTAAAGTGTACTTATCCACCTTGTTCAAAGTACTTCTTTCCAACCGTGGAACCCTATACATCAATATAAACAAGGGACTAGAGCTCATGAGTACATATTATTAAAAGGCTACACTAAACATAAGGCAAAGAGATGTGTTTTTGTAATTGAAAAAGTTCTCTATTACTTACGTTGATTTGGAGATTTCTGGGACTGGGTGGGACAGGGGTTCAACCAAGGCCAGAGCGTTTGCGATATCTTGGATTCGTGGACCGGAGTAAAGTGTTGATGTGACGAACTTGTTGGTAATGGAATCTTCATTTGGCATGAGCCTATGATGTTGTTCTTGAGGAAGAAAGAATAGAGGTGGCTCATTAACAAAAATATCTTCAACGGCGTCGTTTCCACACCTTCTTGTCCACTGATAACCTTCTTCTGCCATATGAGTATGGGAACAAGAAAACTTATACGAGCTGGTGGAGAGGTGGAGAGGGGGAGAGGGAGAGAGAGAGATTCTATGTTCTTTTAAGAGTAAAGTGTGTTCAATTTATATTAATTTTAGTTTTTTGAGGATCTATGTTCTATGTTCTTCTGCCACTAATCTGCCACTAATATTTTTTATTTTATTTTCAATAACTTTAATAGATTAACTTAAATGAGCGAATGTCTAGGGATATTGTTTAAACCATACGAGTTATATATAATAGCAAAATTAGTCATGTGGATTTATTTGTTATATTTGAGTAATATGTCATATTATTGTTTCTAATAATTAAATTATCTACATTTAGTGTGTTGAATTTATATTTAAATTATCTTTTATCTCAAAGTTTGTTCGGCACAACATTATTATAATCGTTAACAACAGAAAAACACTATTATCATTGAGTTTTACTTATTCGAATGTCCACCATCTTTTCACACTAGTATGGAAGACGAGCAATAAAGTGGGTTTTCAAGATATTCAAACAACGGAATCTTTGGATTCTGTTAATTTTTGGCTTCTGTAAACAATTATTCTCATAATTTTGATTGTTTTTATTTATTATTCAGATTCAACACTTTTGTTTCTGATCACTCCAATCATAAATTAAAAAAAAAAACAATAGTTGAGCTTCTAACTTGTTGCTTTAACGAAAATTTATTATACCCAAGAACTATTCTTCAGACCTAATTAAAACATCGACCTCATTAGATTTGGCATCCACATTAGGACGCGGTAACAATAAGTTTTCTAACTTCAGAGAGTGAGACACTATATATGGCTGCAAATTTTTTAAGAGATTGTAAAACCCAGCTAGGATTCTGTAACACCCCGGTTTCAGAAATATGGTGGTGCATGCGGAGAGGTTTAAAAGAATTGATTAGGTCACTTATGTCACCAAAGTGCACTTAGAGCACTTCCAATGGTAGTGTCTCCATGAGACATCCATAATAAAAATAAATCAAAAATAAATAAAAAATAATTTTTTAATCAAAAAAGGTGAGACATTTTGAGACACGTTTCTCATTTGAGACATTTTGAGAAACTCTCTCTCTCATACATATGTCAATCCTAGATTGGTTTAACAATTCTTTTTTAAATTCAATTACTCTAAGATTTATAATATCAATTAAATAGTTTATAAGTTTTTATTTTTTATTTTTTATTTTTCTACAATTCATAAAATAAAATTATCTATAAATCAAGCTCCATTATACAAAAGTTTAAATTTTTATTATTATTATTTTAATTGATATTAGTTAAGGTTAATATAAACTATAAATTAATATTTTTAGTTAATAAAATACTACTCCCTCCGTTTTCGAATAGTTGTCGTTTTAGAGAAATTTTTTTGTTTTTAATTAGTTGTCGTTTTCAGTTTTCGATGCAAAATTTATTACTTTTTTATTTTTTATAGTATTTATTTTTATTATGCTAAAACGACAACTAAATTGAAACGACAATTATCTTTTCGGTCAAACGTCCTGAGAGAACTTCACAGTTAAGCGTGCTTGGGCTGGAGCAATTTCAGGATGGGTGACCTTCCGGGAAGTGATTGTCGGAACTGTGTGAGTATGGCAAAACACAGGGAAAGATCATGTGGTGATAAATGGTGACAAATTCTATTGTTTGATTGTCAAATGAGCTTGGATGAGCTGAAGCTCTGCAAGGATATTTATGGGGCATGTATCTATGATTTGGTTGATGGAGAACCAAGCTTGAAATCCGTATTCGAACAGTAGCGTCTCGAATAAGTTAAGGCTAAGGTGAGGGTGGTAATCGTGGAAACACAATAGTTATTTTCTAAGCATGTTCTTCATGAATTGCTTGTATAGGCTTGGAAACTATGTGATTGGATATATGTCTATTGTTTGCTATTGCGTGCTATAATATGATGATAAAATTCATGATGATTGATGTGTGATAATATGAAATGATTTGATGTGATGGGGGCATGAACCTGAGATTGGTTTCGTGTCTCGTGATGGGCGAACCTGAGATTGGTTTCGTGTCTCGTGATGGGCAAACCTGAGATTGGTTTCGTACCTGGTAATTGGGCGAACTTGAGATAGGTTTCGTGCCTGGCGATTGGACGAACCTGGGATTGGTTTCGTGCCATGCTAAGCCGATGGGATTTCGGTTTAGCTTTAGTGTTATTGATTATTTTGTATATGCATGCTTGGACTAATGTAAGAATGTGTATGTTTGTTAGACATATGTTTGAGGATGTGGAGTCTGATTCTATGCTATGCACTGATTGTTGAGTGTGATTAGAATTTCGCCATTGTGTTCACCCTTTTATCTTTTCCCTCAAGTTAATAAGTTGTATGAGACGTGGAACAAGTTTTGAATGTTTAAAGAAATAAGTGTTTTGGCGGGACCAGATGATTAACACGTTGTCTTGCCCTATAAGGCGGGGCGGGTGTTACAGATTCCATGATTGAAAATTAGGAGCATGCTGTATGTTATACTTTTCAAGACCACACGATAAGAATATCGAACAAAATATGGTGGTTCTTTTCCATAGACACAAGGAGAATGTATAGAAAACTATCGATTTTCTAGAGTTATAAGCTGATAAATAAATTAGAATTTGAATCAAGTTTTTTTTAATATTTTTATAAGTTAAAAAATAACACAAACATTTTTCAAAATATGTAGAATTTTATGCCTCAATCGGGATCGATATAACCTTGACAGAAATTACAAAATAAAACATACTTAATATTTTTTGAAAATGTTAAGATGTATTGATATTATAGATGAGCAAAATAAATTTATTTGAACGTTAAAAGTTTAGAAGAAATATAAAAATTTCCTCGGTTATGTTAAATAAGTTTAATTATTATTTTTTAGATTTGTTTCAAATTTTTATTTATTTATTAAGGACTTCTATTTCCCAATAAATTTCATGTTGAGTCCATACTACCAAAATTTTAGAATATTATACATGTTCAATTTCAAAAAGAAAGGACATGGAGGAACATTAAACATTGATATCTACATATACATTTTTACAGTACTTTTTTGCTTTAATTCTTTTGGATCCGGGTTTGACCCGGTTTTAGTCTATTCGGATCTTGGATAAGCAATTTTAGGGATGTTGTCTTAATTTCAAACTGATAAATGAAGCCATGTTGTCTTTAATTCATCTACTTATTCTTATACTATTTTCATATTAATCATCTCCGGATACTTAGCATTTACCATACCTAATTGATTAACTCCATTTTTACCAAAATCAAAACAAATAATTTCTCACATTCCTTAAGTGTATATTGTTCCTTTATTTTCGCCAATGCAATCTGCAACAAAGTTATTTTTTGTATCTTTCAATTTAAATTCCTTCCAAATATGTGTTTCCCTCTACTAAACTATTATTTCGCATATTCGTTAAGACTACAATTAATTCTTTTATTAACCATATTCGTTAATTTCCTTAACTTCTTATCACACCTCCATATATATTCTCTTCTTTAATTGAATCCACAATTTCCGCCACATTCAATTCGTTTATATTCAATTCTGTCTCAACGATGAGATTTTGTAAACTAACCATATTTGTTTATCTCATTGTATCCTATTTATATGTTATTTGTTATTTCCTGCCAAAAATAATATATTTAAAACGAAATTAATTACTTTTTAAATATCAACTAAAAGATTTAGGAAATAACAACCATTCCCTCAAATATCTCCATTAATTGTCGTTGAATACTTTCTATAATTTACAATCCCTTAAAATTGATTTTTGTTACAAATCAATTTAATTACTACCAACAAATCATTTTGGATATTTCAAATCAACAAGATCTCTAACAATACAATTTCATAAACAAACTAATGATGCATTGTTTAAAAATCTATACGTTTTCTTTCCAAAAGCAAGATTCCAGTATATATTATTCTTGTAACTAATCACTCATCATATCTCTAATATCTCTACAAAATCGATTTAAGATAAAAAAAAATTATGACTCATAAATTACCATATTCTTGGCATATTCCATATTACTGTAGATTTGAAAGATTTTATCCTTAATTAGTTGCTATTTAGGATTTTTGTTTTGCGTGATAAGCTACGGATATCGACCTAATGTTGAGCCTATAAATAATCTACACCTAAACGCTAATAAACATCACCAAACACCAAAAACCACAGCTTACTTTTAAACCATTATACTCACCTTTGTTTTCTTTGATGTTTCTGCATTCTTAGTACGTAATTTCATATAGGACCAAACTTGGGACTTGAATGGTGGCATTGACGTTGTAGCCACGGAGGAGTAAAAGCTTGACATTCAAGACACTATGTAACCGGAAGCTCTGGTAACGCAGGCCACCTTTTCTCCATCGGGCATCTCTCTTCACTTTATCTAATTAGTAGAATTAGTGTGGCTGGTGGGATTCACTATTAAAATGATAAACAAATGCCATAGTTATAGTTTCATACATTTTTAGTTTGATAATCTAATTTTAAATTTGCATTCAAAGATGTGTAAATGTAATTACGCAAAGAAATTGGAAATTTTAGAACTTTGAAATCAAAATTACCTTTGCCTAACTTTGCTTTTAGTACCTCGATTCCCACTTTCATCATCTATGTGGGATTCTTCTTCTACTCCCTAATTAAGGATGAAAGATTCGATTTCATAAGCATGAACAATTATTAGCAAATACTAATCGATTAAAGATTCTTTGGAAATCAAAACCAAAGCATGCTTATGAAATCGAAGAAGGAAATTAATACCTGAAGAACAAAAGATCTATACTCCCTCCGTTTCAGTTTAGTTGTCGTTTTAGGATTTAAATTTTGTTTCATAATAGTTGTCGTTTTAGGTTTTCAATGCAAATGTTTGGTAAAAATTCATGTTTTATCCCTACAGTTTTAATGTTTTGGCCAATGAAATTTTTTATAAAATATATTAATAAAAAGTAAAACAGAAAATTTAATGCTTTCTTAATTTGTGTGAAAAAATCTTAAACGACAACTAAAACGAAACGGAGGGAGTATTAAATGAGCGTCCCATATCATATGTAGCTATTCATCACGGTCGTACTTGCCAGTTCTGGAAAGATCTTTGGACACCCTTTGTACCTCTCATCAACTTCAATGGAGCACTTTGATGGATCGCTTGGTCCTACTACTGATCCATTGTATATAATTTTACAATCGAAACAAAAATCGAAAAAGAGAATGAAAATGGTCATGGTTCTCTTGACTGCATCATGGTCACGACTCTCTTCTTCTCACTTCTTTTTTGCCTCGACGGTACCGCTTCTACCTACGGCAATTAGTTGGGCCATTTTGGGCTACTACTTTGCTTGGGTTGGGCTATTTATACATCACACTTATTTCCTCTATTTATCAGTCTAATAATACTTCAAAATTTTATAATTGAGAAAATTGTAATACCATGTTATATTATTTATGATACAAAATGCATAAATATAATTTTGTTTGTGTTCTACTACGGGTTAAATCCTAGAGAATGTCATTACTACAATTTTTTATCTATTAGTTAATATAAAAAAAACTCTATCTATATAAAAATATATATTTTATATATATTCACATTAACTAATAATACAAAATATGAATACATATTCAATATTGTTAATTTTCTTTTTCTTTTCCATATTTATAATTTTAAGAATTTTATAAACTTTCAAATAAAATAAATATTTGAGTTATTCTAAGAAATTTAAACATTATATATATTTACAAAAGATATTAATACGGAACGGTATATTACGGGTGAAATCCTAAATATAACAATCAAAAGACTATTTGAATTTTGGGTCGATATTGTTTTATTAGAAAATGACTAAATGATGTAGATTTCACGGGACAGGTTTATATGGTCGTACGAGGTTGGGTCGATATTAATACAGTATGATATACTACAGGTAAATCCTAGAATTGACAATCAAGATATAACTATACAATCTTAAACACTTTACAAAACTATACAAACAATATTAACAAAACAAATAAAAATTTTAATTTTAATTTTTTAGTTATAACAGATCGTCGGTGTACCATACATTTAAATCAAACAAAACAATAATATATATCTATAGATCATCTTAAAAAATTTTAATTTTATTATTTAGTAAAAATATAGGCCCGCGGTGTACCGCGGGTTAATATCTAGTTTTTATATTAATTTCTTAACAAAATTACAATGCTTTATTGAATATCTTTAATACTGCAACGACAAAGATGCCTTTCCAAACTACATCTTTTTATATATTTTTTCCTTCTCATACAAGCTCTTGCGCAATCAAAACAATAACCAATCCATCCTTGTTGAAGAAGTTCTTGGTTCAAAGCATATGGATCGAAAGGACTTGCTGCTGGATTGAAATAATAAGTTGTCTCTTCTCCACTAGATTCCTTTATAAGTATTGATGTACCTATAAAATTTTGAACTATCAAATATTTTTTTTTTAAATGATTACAATACCAACATAGTATCCTAATTATATAAATTTAGACTTACATGAAGAAACAAAAATTAAAAGAGTGAAAAATAAAAAAGTCAACTTCATTTGTTAATAGAAATTAACCAATATCACAAAGGAATATATTTAATATATTTTGTGAATCGTTTTAAACTTCGTTTTTTCTTTTGTTTTGCTCTGGAGTTATTAAAGCGATATATGGTCATATTTATAGGCTCTCTAGATAAATTTGTTATAAAAAGAGTTACTGTTCGAATGAACAGTTTATTTTTTATAAAGAAAATTTAAGTAACCTATTTTGGTTGTTTTCGTTTTAAATTATAATATTTTTGTTACAATACATATTTATGATCTTATATATGACCAAATTATCTTATTTCTTATATACCTTGAATCTATCCAAAATATTTCTACTTATGTATATTTTTTAGTTGTAAATTGCCTAAATTATTGATTCATAAAAAATTCTTTCAATCACCTTGTTTCACATTTGTTTTTTTATCTATAGAAACAAGAGATTTTTTAAAAGTTATAGAAAACAATAGATTTTCTAAAGTTATAAGCTGATAAATAAATTGGAATATTTATCAAGTTTTTTCCAATATATTTATAAGTTAAAAAATAATAAAAACATTTTTCAAAAAATGTAGAGTTTTATGCCTCAATCGGGATCGCTATCAACCTAGCAGAAGTTACAATATCAAACATATTAAATATCTTTTTGAAAATATTAAGATGTTTTGATAGTCTAGATGAGCATAAATATATTTCTTTACACGTTATAAGTTTAGAAGAAATATAACAGTTTCTTCAGTTATGTTAAAGAAGTTTAATTATTATTTTTTAGATTTTTTCAAATTTTAATGGGCTCTTGGGCTAAAAGCCCATGGAAGTCGCCAGCCGATATCCCTCAAACTAATGGAAAGGTCGTTACCGACCTTCCAAAAGAAGAAACCGAGAAAATTCCCCTTAATAATAATGTCTAGATCTGAAGATAAGAAAGATTGAAAGATTCGAGTCCTAGATTTTAAAAAGTTTAGCTTATCTTTAAACGCTCCTCCCAACTATAAATAGAGGAGTTTGTCCTCTACTCAAAGGATCCGCAATGTTACGCTAAAACCCTAGTTCTTTCTCTTTTCTTGAGCAAAACCTAACTTACTTCACAAGAGATTAGAACCCCCTTAGTAATCGAGTCTTTGATCGAGATATCTAATAAAGTGATGAGTGTTCTGAATTTGTTTTCTCTCATTAACAAATTCATTGTGTGAATTCTAAATTCAACAGAAAAGTAATGTGATGGATAATCATTACATTATAACAAATCAATAATATTCCGAATACAAACATATATTTAGTATAACATCATAAAGCATGAATACTTAGAATTTCCGAGACCCGATTAATTCAAGAATTTCATCACTTAAAACGATGTCAAAATTGGGAGACCAACATAAAGAAGATGGAGAAAGGGATGATGAAGTATAAGACGATAATGAAGACCAAGAAGCTGTCAAAACACTGTCCTTAGTCGGAATATTTTTCATTGCTGGAGCCACCACATCTTCTAAAAGCCCTTGTTGCCGTCGACACTGATCAACCGGGAAAAACAATTCATCTTCGAGATTTACCGGTGTGTTTTCTTGGGCCTTATGGACTGGCTGATTTTGGTTGGCGGGCTCACCTAATTGGGCTTCTTTGCTTTCTTCTTGGGTTTGAGATCCGTTGTTCATCTCTTGAGCATAATATTTATGTATTTTCGTTTTTTTATTGGGCCATTGATGTGTCTTATCGGGTAGGAAGAAAGGGTAAGTATAGTGAAAGTGGAAACCTTCGTAGGTGATGATATATGTGTTAGGCTCATCAATTGATCTCTCCACTTGCTTCTTAGCATTGCATATTGGGTTTGTGCACTTGTAATAACTCCTAGAGATATATCACAAATATAGT